ATAACCTCCGCTGCCAGCTAGCCCTGTTTCGCAGCTGTCGCTTCTTGTAAACAGCTTTCGCTGCGAGAATCTGACCGACATTTTTGTGCCAAAAATGCATGTCCATTTTATGTGCGCCTCTGAAGCTGACAATGCTAATATTGCTTCCCGGCAACTAGCTACCGCATCCTGCTACTGAAGACGGTTCCAGAGACCATGGATCCACGCAAAGCCACCAAGAAAGTGCTCTCAAAATTCACTCAGTTCGATGGAAAGTGCAGATACGGTCTGGCAAAGGTAGCTTCTGCTGAAACTAAGCCGTCTTCATTTCTTAATGAAGCACCTAATCGATCACATTAAGCACGCTGACCTCCACATTTCAGCACCGTTGCAGGCCCTTACTAGCAATTGGCAAATACCTACTTATGATCCTTCCAAAATTCTGATAAAATATATACATACTTCCTGTACTATCTGTCAGTACAGAATGTTTGGTGATAACTTCGCGATAACTTGAAAGCACAAGCGCACAACTTCAAACATATCTGCAGTAAGCCTGGCTACACACACTTTCAATTCAAGCAACATTCACATGCATTTCCTTCCCACTTCCTCGCCTGCTAACCAAGGCTGCTCATTTCTGCACTCTAACCTTACCACTGTTCAAGCTTCCTTCTTTGAGGTTCTTATCTCACCGGTAAGTCTTTAACTTCTTGCAGTTATTGCGAACATTATTTGCAGCTACGTAGCTCGTAGGTCAACGCAGGCTTGCGCATCTAATTTCAGACATCTCTTCTTTCTACGCATTTTGCAAAACGATATGGCTAACGTCTTACCTTAATGCTGTAAAATTCAAGCAAATTACTTTGAAACAAAGTTATCGGCAGCAGAAGTCGTAATCAAACTCATTCAGTCCAGAAGGCAAAGAGATCCCCGTCAGCCAACCTTTCCGAACCCCGTCTCGCAGTCTGCTGACCTCAACCACCACATCAGGTGTTCTTCCGCGCGGAGTGCTGGTCAGATGGAAGAGTTGCGTGACGACCGGCTGGCCAAGATCTTCTCCTGGCTGCAGGCCTGGATCCGTGGCTACTTCTCCCGCAAGGAGTACAAGAAGCTGCAGGACCAGAGGTCAGTCGGCTAGGCTTCAAGTTAACTACATGAGGAGCTGTTGAGTTGCGGTCTTAGCCTATTCTTGGAGTGCTTTCATTCATCTACATTCCAGCTCTTGCGATTCTAGGTATCTGAAGTACCTCTTGGTGATTTTCTTTAACGTTTAAGTCCCGGTCTAGCACAAGGCACAATGTCTGAACTCCTCTGTTCGACAGGATTGCCCTCTGCGTGGTGCAGCGCAACCTGCGCAAGTACATGCAGCTGCGCAACTGGATGTGGTTCAAGCTGTGCAGAAGATCAAGCCCATGCTCAACGTCACACGCATCGAGGATGAGATGCGCGTAAGTTAAACACTTTGATTATTTTTTGTTAATGATAGACAGCAGACATGAGTAGCGTTCAAGCTTGGCACCTTTATCTGCCATGCTGATTGCTGATGTACCGAGAGATGCGAATAGCAAATAGCTCTAAGTTTATTCGTATTCATTGCACGCTGTCAGCCGGCCAGTTTCTTAATTTTAATTTATGTTTACTACCTTTGGGGTTATAACAGCTTACCGTAGTCTGTACGCTTACTTTACAGCAGGGTCATGACCGTGAATGAATGATGCATGATAAGCACAATCTACTTCATTCCTTCACAGGCCCTTGAGGAGAAGGCCCAGAAGGCCCTCGACGCCCTGGAGAAGGAGAGAAGCTGCGCAAGCAGCTGGAGGAGCAGAACGCCAAGCTCGATAAGGAGCGCAACGAGCTGCTCGACGCCCTGGCCTCGGAGAAGGGCAGCTTGAGCGACTTCCACGCCAAGCAGCAGAAGCTGCAGGCGCAGAAGCAGGACCTCGAGAACCAGCTCTCCGTAAGTGGAACGCTCTTTTAATAACCAAGTGCTGTCCAAATCTTTGTAATAAGTCATAGTATCTTCCGCTCCCTTCTTTCAACTTAGCATAACATAAGCACTAAGCAGACATATCTCGATGATTGAAAGTCTTGAGCATGAAATCGCTGTCGGTCTTGCAAACGTATGCTTCGTGTTTCGCTGGAACATCGGGACACATCCTGACTTTTCGCGTCTTTTGCTCGCCCACAGGACACCCAGGACCGCCTGGCCCAGGAAGAGGAGGCCCGCAACGCCCTCAACCAGGCCAAGAAGAAGCTCGAGCAGGAGCTCAATGGCAGAAGAAGGATATTGAGGACCTCGAGCTCACCATCCAGAAGGGCGAGCAGGATAAGGCCACCAAGGACCACCAGATCCGCAACCTCAACGACGAGATCGCCCACCAGGACGAGCTCATCAGCAAGCTCAACAAGGAGAAGAAGCAGCTCCAGGTCAGCAGAGCTTTCCAGAGCTGATAGACCAGCTAAGACTATGGTTTTACTGGGGCCAGTCTGTGACTTCTTGTAAGGGTCGCATGAAATTTTATTTGATGCATCCTTCAGCAATTGGCTTCAATTTTACTTTTTTTAATTTGTCAATACAGAACCCGAAATTTACTTTGCATAACAACCAACTCGGTAATCAAACTTAACTTCATCACAGTAACTCTGAAAGTAGGTACTATAACACTTGCCTATGACTAGGCGACTCACGAATCCTCTTTCATCCCGACCACAGGAGAACCAGCAGAAGACCGCCGAGGACCTGCAGTCCCAGGAGGACAAGGTCAACCACCTCAACAAGGTCAAGGCCAAGCTCGAGCAGACCTCGACGAGCTGGAGGACTCTCTGGAGCGTGAGAAGAAGCTGCGCGCCGACGTTGAGAAGAACAAGCGGAAGGTCGAGGGTGACCTGAAGCTGACTCAGGAGGCTGTGGCCGACCTGGAGCGCAACAAGAAGGAGCTCGAGCAGACCATCGCCCGCAAGGACAAGGAGATCGCCTCCCTGTCCGGTAAGAGAACTGAAATATCGGGATACACTTATGCTGTTTCAATGGAGATATTTGATAGTTTATAACTTCCTCGATTGATTGTGGACCTTAAAAAATGTTTTGCGCACACCAGACCTTGAAATTATAACAGCATTCACATCCTGGTATATGATCAGAGAAACCAGAGAAATATCAGTACCTATCTAAACGACTCCTGCCTATTGATCCTATCGTGTTGGCCTCCTTTCATTCATTTCTTTAGCTTGGATGGACGCATCCAACAGATCATAATAATATCCACCATCTCCAATCCATGATCATAGTGATCCCGCTTCAGCCTGACCAACTTTGTTCCCACACCAAGCTTGAGGACGAGCAGTCGCTTGTCAGCAAGCTGCAGAAGCAGATCAAGGAGCTGCAGAGCCGCATCGAGGAGCTCGAGGAGGAGCTCGAGGCCGAGCGTCAGGCCCGCGCCAAGGCCGAGAAGCAGCGCGCGCCGACCTGGTCAGTAAGGCAAACGCTTCAGGGAGGTGGGGGATATTGCACAAGGTCTTGGAGTTAGTATTATCGTTGAAAGAATGGCAGGGGAGGGCGAACGGAGAAGAGCATACGACCTCAATCATCATTACCACCCTAAAAGAAGCGGGCAATAAATCAAGGGAGTTCAGATGATACCGATTATCAAGAAAAAACTCTTGAAATGAACTAGACTAAAAAAGTCGTTTTCTAAATACCTGCAGATTTAGTACGTTCCTACGAGCTGTTCCTCATTGAACCACTAAACCATTCAACGCCCATAAAACATTACTCCACCTCCTCATCCACTTACCATCATATATGACACCACCCCCTGTCCTTTTCACCCACAGGCCCGCGAGCTTGAGGAGCTGGGCGAGCGTCTGGACGAGGCCGGCGGTGCCACTGCCGCCCAGATCGAGCTCAACAAGAAACGGGAGGCCGAGCTAGCTAAGCTGCGCCGTGACATCGAGGAGCAGGTAAGAGGAGGCGGCGAGGTTGAACATCACAGAAAGTGCTTGGGGACTTTTGACAATGATAATGATTCCACAAAAGAAACGACGGAGTTGTTTAGCGAATGCTTTGGGAAAATCTCCGATGCATTGCAAAAGAACCTAGGAATCAGAGATGATGACTTTGGTTGCATCCAATAGCAAGATGCTTCGTGAGCATCAAATCTTTTATTTTCATGTGAAATATCATTAGTCAGAGTTTCTTTACCACCATCAGAGCCTTTGGGGTGCGATGCCGTTCTTTGAAGCCTCCCCGTATGACCATTTACAGAACATCCAGCACGAGTCTTCGCTGGCCAGCCTGCGCCGCCGTCACAATGACGCCATTGCCGAGATGTCGGAGCAGATCGACCAGCTCAACAAGATGAAGGCCAAGTGAGTAACGGTAGAGAAAGTACTAAACCTATTAGCTGGCATATTCAGATGTGAAAAACAAAACTGATTTGCCTAACAGCGTATGCCTGAATGAGAAAGCATTTAGAATAGCACGATACAATGTGAAAGCAGCAAAGGCGTTGAATAAGAAGACTTTTCTATCCAAAGTTGCAAAACCTTTTGATTACCATGACCGCCAAAGTCAGAGAAACCTTGTGATATGCGTGAAGTAGATTTTATAAGGACCATCGCACTGAACGCCACCCCGCGCTCTAGGCTGGAGAAGGAGCGTACGACGTACGCCCACGAGGCTCACGATGCCCGACAGGCTGTCGAGATGGTGAACAGGGACAAGGTACGCGTGGGACTGACGTTTCTCTAGCAGCAGACGTAGCAGCAGACGTAGCAGCAGCGGTAGACGCAGCATCTGTAGGAGTTGGAACCAGAGTCGTCGGAGGACTAGCCCTCCCGCAGCAGCAGATTAATTTGAACTGTGCAATGTTGACCCACCTCGAATCGAGAGTATGTAGACACAGGTTGACGGTTTGGTGTGGTAGCCAGTGTTTGACTCAGCATTGAGGTTATGTGGTATCATGATGTAGCAGACTGCACGGAACCAAACTATTTCAGGTCAGAGAAGGACCGCGAGAATGCCGCCGCCGATGTTACAGATCTGCGCTCCGGTCTTAGCTTTGCCTCGAATGAGAAGGTATATCTAGATCACTGTAGTCATTACCTTCACTTTAGACTAGAATAACCCCCCTACTGCACGTCCGGGACATTTTGCGTAGAGCTCAGACGGCAACTTTTTAGCCCGAGGAGCAGCCAGTCTTTTATCTCGGATATTTTTGACTGATGCACGTGCACCACGTTGTTCTGTAGCGCCGAGCGAGATCGTGCCGGGGTCCTCTCAGACGTCCAGGAAGGTCGTGCCACTCTGCACAGAGCTCAACAGGACTCGGTAAAGAGGTCGCGCTGTAGGCGACCCGTTTTCCCCATACCTACTAACATTGCGGTGTTTGTTTCAAACTAAATGCTCATATTCTACAGTGAAGTGCAACGCAGGGAATAGACGATTCTCAAGCCATACACTCAATGGCTCAATCTGTGCCTGCTTTGATGTTGATTCTTTACAGCGAGATGGACAGGTTTGGGATTGCTTTCAACTTTCACGCTATCTTTGCACAAATCTTCTCTTTCTTTGTGAAGTGTATCTGCTGTGAATGTTCGATATTTCTTGCTTTTTCGACCAGGTTACTCCTCTGGTGGGTATTTACATGTGTGCAAGCTGGCTTACATTTTATTTTCGCTCTTACAGTTGCGTCTCGGCCATTACACTGATAAGAGAAAAAAATATTACTGAGGTCTCAGGATTATTCCGCAAAAACGCTTACCTAATTTCGTCAAACCATGTGCCTCATTCGTTATTGTCGGACAGCAAAAGCCACTGGTGTTAAGCAAAAGCAAAAAAGATAACCTAGGGATAGCGACAGGTTAAAAAATATGAATACCGGATACCTAGTCGTGTTTGGGATAACAAAACAAAGCTTCCCATTTTACCCAAACCCTACAACTTCCCCTGACACCACTCGCTCGCACCAGGCCGCCGCTGAGAAGATGAACAAGATCCTGCAGCAGCAGATCAACGAGGTGACCTCCAAGCTGACGAGGCCAACCGCACCTCAACGACTTCGACGCCTCCAAGAAGAAGCTCACCATCGAGAACTCCGAGTACAGCCGCCAGGTGAGCTGGAGGACGGAGGTTCAGCCAGCATTGGAAGCTACCAGCACAAATAAGCTTGTGCAAAAACCTCTCTGATTGCAGTTCTGAAGCAAGGACTAGGTACAAGCCAGAACGTAACGAACGGGTGATCACTATAGAACTGGACAAATTCACCTCTCTGATCACGGTTTTGACGCAAGGATTAGGTACAAGCCAGGATGCAGTTACCTGATTTTGTCAAGGAGGAATGTCTGCTTCGTTAGCGAAAGATATGACTTGACGTCTCCAGCTAAACACTGCTCACGTCCTTCCCTCTGCCTCCACTCTGACCACCTCCATCTTTTCTGCCCACAGCTGGAGGAGGCTGAGAGCCAGATCTCGCAGCTCTCCAAGCTGAAGGTCTCGCTGACCACCCAGCTGGAGGACACTCGCCGCATGGCCGACGAGGAGTCCCGCGAGCGGGCCACCATCCTGGGCAAGTTCCGCAACCTCGAGCACGACCTGGACTCGATGCGCGAACAGGTCGAGGAGGAGGCCGAGCACAAGGCTGACCTGCAGCGCCAGCTCAGCAAGGCCAACGCCGAGTCACAGATGTGGCGCCAGAAGTACGAGCAGGACGGCCTCGCCAGGTAAGCCGACGCGCCACGACGGACTTCAAGGAGTGAAGGACGTGAGAAACATCCTGCTCAGATCGAAGCAGTCAAGGTGTACAGTTAGTCTTTACTACAAGCAGTGTAAACTTTCACCGCACAACGTCAATATTACCGTTACGGCTTTCCTATAAGTGGGTTCACTCTCTGAAGCGGTGTTCAGCAACAAGTAAAACATTGTCATAATCAGCGAACTCAGCTCGTTCTCACACTTCACCACTCCCACCTCTCCCCGCTCGCAGGGCTGAGGAGCTGGAGGAGCACCGCCGCAAGCTGTCTGCCCGCCTGCAGGAGGCCGAGGAACAGCTCGAGTCGCTCAACGCCAAGAACATCCAGCTGGAGAAGCTGAAGCAGCGCCTGAGCGGCGAGCTCGAGGACATGCACATGGAGGTCGACCGTGCCCAGCAGCTGGCCAACGCCATGGAGAAGAAGGCCCGCAACTTCGACAAGATCATTGGCGAATGGAAGATGAAGGTCAGTGCCCTTGAGACGGAGCTCGACTCTCTTGCTTTTAGAAACAAAAGTAAATGCATGTTGGTTTAACATGACCATTGTCAAGTCTATTTCGATATCATTGACATATTATTGCATAGGCTATGCAGAAAACCAGTTGAGGTACAACAAAACCCTAACCATTAAATCCGATTCCAAGTAAAGTCCAAAGTTTTTTTTAGCGTTGAGAACATCCTTCGTGTGTCGACGACCCTTGACCGCCAATCGCCTCGCCTGACCCCTGGCGATGCCTCTGACAGGTGGATGACCTCTCTGCCGAGCTGGACGCCTCGCAGAAGGAGTGCCGCAACTACAGCACTGAGCTCTTCCGCATCAAGGCCGCCTTCGACGAGTCGCAGGAACAGCTCGACTCAGTGCGCCGCGAGAACAAGAACCTCGCCGACGAGATCAAGGTAAGATTCGTCGACAGGTATCGCACATTCTGCGGGCCATGGTTGAGGATAAAAGTGGTGGTTGTTTGATTTAGGGGATCTTCATATGATCCCTTGAAAACCATCCTGATATACGTGACGTAACAGTATGTGGCGTGTCATCTTCCGATAAAATGCATTGCTAAGTTACCTGCCGTAGATGAAAAGCACAAAACAATGCTCGCATACGGCGAAACGAGACGAATGCGCACTAGGCCTTGACAACACCATCTGCCGTCTCGCAGGATCTCATGGACCAGATCGGCGAGGGTGGCCGCAACGTGCACGAGATCGAGAAGTCGCGCAAGCGGCTCGAGGTCGAGAAGGAGGAGCTGCAGGCCGCCCTGGAGGAGGCCGAG